TGAAAGTCATCATCATTGCACTTTCAAAACACACGCTTGCTTGTGTTTTTCCTTCAAATTTCACTGCAGTTCATGGAGAAGTGAAATTATTTTAATTAATAAGCAGCATTTTCAGTTTGTATGCTAATTTACAAGTAATTTTTTCCTTCTGAAAATTTGCTGTAAGAAACACTTCCCCTCAGACAAGTGTTAATCAAATATTGTGGTCTTCAGAAATGTTAAACCATCTGAATTGATAGAGAGATACCTAAGTTTCGTTGGAATTTTTTACCTCCATCTTTAATATATACTTGTATGATCCATCCTAAAGATGGAGACAGTACGTTTCTCCGTAACGTTGATACCTTGTCAAACTGTACGGCGTCCGTTTTTGAGAAGACCGTCATCTTAAAATTCACGGCCGTAAGAAATTTAAATCTCAGTACCGACTATTTCATACGAGCCTGATATACTGTCTGGCTACGGACTGGACGACCGAGGGGTGGGAACTCAAATCCCGGTAGGATCAAGAATTTTCTCTCCTTCATGTCTAGACCTGCACTGGGAACCACGAAACCCCCTATCCAATAGGTACCGGGGCCTCTTTCCCCGGAGGTCAAGAAGGTGTGGATCTATTCATTCACTCCCATATTCCTTCACGGCATAGTGCTTAATTAGTTAAGCACAGGAACAACTTCACGTTTTACCCACTAATTCCTAGCTCTGTCCGCGTGTATATATCTCTGCGTGAATCCTTGCTTCCGCAAATAACCGTTCATGCCAGTCAAAGAAAATCATATTACAGCCATTTTACCATGCCAAGCGATACTTGAAATTCAGCGCACGTAAATTAGTACTATTTTTCATTCTTTATTGTAATTGCAGAGCGTGAAACGGTTTGAACTGTCTTTATTGTTTGCATCTTGTTGAGTATTACTGTATAGTATTGTCACGTGTCACAGTGACTAAAGATGGGGCTTGGATTCGTAATTGGATTTATTAACCGCCTCCAGGTCGTAACTACAATTAAGTAATACACTATTGTTGCTTTACGCAATTTACAATCAGTCCACACTAATCTCTTCAGTCTATCTGCACAAGTCCTCGGGTATTTATAACACAGGAACTGTTACAGTCTCGTTGTATTACACACTCTAAACATGACACATACATAAAATTTTCTAATCGCACGTTAAGTCTACACGGGATGACTTCTTGTACTATTTTGTACTTCTAGTTCCAAATCGCTCTGAACTTACAGCTCACGGCCCTCGTTATATAGCAGCGGAATGGACATGGACCTACAGTAAACACATATCACGTGATCGCTATCCAGCCAGTCTATTGGCATGTCGGTCACATCTTCAGAAAACACAGCTTCCTCTATAGTTGCGTGTTTGACCGTGTTTACAGAGTTGTTGCCCGGCATAACGTTGATCAATCAATTACAGTATTATTATAAGACATTAAACACAAGGAATTCGTAATAAATAGACAATCCCTTCAGAATATAAGAACCCCTCCCTCCCGTGAACACCACATGATTTATGAAGCACATCCAGCATGATATTAAAGAGTATTTATCACAAATAGAACCTCAGAATGGGAACAACCGCTACGTAACAGCAAGGAGGCGTGGCACTTCCATACAGGACGCGATACAACATGCATGTAAGTAAAAGAAACAAACATTTCAGGAAATAACAAATAGCAGAACACATAAAATATCACTAAATTATCCATTTCGATTACAGAATAATTTTACTACTGTCTTTCAAAAATAAAAAATTGTACATAACATCAATTACATACGAGAAATCATTTACTACATGACTACACATCACTCAAAATTGAACCATATTAGAATATCTGTAGTCTATTTTCAGGTGCACAAAGAAATAAAAATAAGAAGGTAACTCTATGATACAAAAACACAGACTCGTGTTAAATACTAAAATAAAATGAATTTTTTTTTAACTGAGTTATAACGTTTTACATGTTATGGCTAATATTAAAGAAATATTACAAAACATAGAAGGCTTAGGGAAATTTGTATTATTAATGATCACTAATGTGGATCAGCATTAGAAATACAATTCAGCAACGAGTAGTACATGTCACGAAAATTTCCAGACGAAATTCCAGCTGGATCGAAATATGCAACAAGTACACTTAACAAACGAATGTTAATACATTAATATTGGTTCATTTGTTGTGTTGACGATCGTACAATACCACATGTTTCAACTATATCGCAACAGTACGGGATTGCGTAGGTAAATTTGGACCTATTTTACGCATCTGCATCATCTGGACGTAGCCACTATCAAGCTACGGCTGATTTATCTGTGGAAAATAGAGCCCAAGGAACTTGTAGTGGAGTGGTTATCGCGCCTGCTTTTTGTTCGCAAAGTGTCCGGCTCAGATATCTAGGAGACTGTCATGCTTACCAAGTTCTGTCGTGGTTCACATCAGTCCCTATATGCAGTCACCTGAATGGTACTGTGATATGTAGACCCACTTCTAGGCAACGCCCAAAATACGCACACGCAACAATAGAACAAGTGTCGCAAGAGTTGTCTATATAGTTAGCATATATTTATTACTAGGTAACGAGCCAATAAACACGCATTCTCGACAACAGAAGACAGTGTTTTCCGTGCGGTCCGTGCCAAAGAGTTATCTTGACAGTCGAAGCTACAAGCTATGTATACGACTATATAACAAAATTGTGCAGACGACAAGCAGAAGTCATAGAAACTCATGATAATGAATATGTTCACGGTATAGGACAAGGTGAAACCAGGCAGAGAACATATAAGAGGCTTAAACTTGGCGGTGGTCAAGCTTATGACCGTTCAAATGACTAAGTCTTCATTGTAGCATAAGATCTGTAGGTTAGGCATGATCCGCTCTGTAAAGCCTATACCGACAGATGACTTGTGTGTAAAGCAAAAGGAAGAGTTTTCAATAACATATTATATGTGCGAAATATACACTTGACGAAAGATCGAATGTATTCATAACAGACAGACCCATCTTCTCGTCATGGAGGATGTTACATAAGGACTATTACCGCAAGAAAAAAAAAATCTCTGGTCGTGGGTCTCAAGGGGTCTGATGCCAAGATGAACTGTTTGGCGGTAACCGCCAGCCGTAAAATAACTCTGACCCTGAAGCAGCAGCGTTCAGCTGTGGAGTGTTAACCAGCGGGCAGAGGAAGCGGAAGAAGCACAATTGCTAAGATTCGTTACCAGGAAACGTCTAGTGAAGACACTGCAGAGGAATTGCCGTTGTGGAGAGCTGTTGCTAAGGAAAGACTAGTGGAAATAGAGTGAGAAAACTTAGTGTGGAGTGGTTCGTAATATGGAAATCAGCACTACTGTTAAAAGTTATTTGTTGTTAGGACCTGTAAGTGGTCAATACATCTATTCACCAATGAAAACCCCGTCTATAGTCACTAATACACGTGAGAGTATCTTAAATTAGGTTGGGATCGTCTCCTTTCAACATTCTTTCAAAAATCACATCACTCACTGCTCCTTCTACCATTCTGCGCTTCGTGTTTCTGAGACACTAACAGCGTCTTTATTGGACCATAAATAAGCAAATAAAACAGTTGATGCCAACGGCAGAAATCGTATAAATGATTTGTATACCCCGAAGCCTAACTGGATGTTTCAGTGAATATGAAATTTTGTTTCTGTTGGAAATCGAAACCCGCTCTTCTATCGCATGGAAAGTCGCGTTTTTTGGCTAATCCGCCTTGTTCACTTCCTTGACGAAGAACAGATCAATGTTCAGAAGTGTGTCCGCCTATCTAAATACGGTTAAGAACTTCGATGTAGTTCAAAAATATTCAGCTATCTGCCTGACACAGACTCTTCACTGACAAAATAATGAATTCAGATAATCAGGAGTCTGTGATTTCCACGCCTGAGGAGCTATTTCAAGGAAATAACGGCTCCGGTCTAGAACACTGAAGTTAACGGCCGTGAGGACTCGTTGCGCTGACCACGCGACATCGTCTATGCGCTAAAGTTGGCACTAACTTCGTCGACAAGCGGCGGTCGCTTGGTCGGTATATTTCGCTCGCGGACTCAAGCCAAGGAGTTTATTTGTTTGTTATTTTGTGGTTTCCAAACCTGGGTCTCCTAAGAGGTTTCTCCCCTTCATATATTTCGACTGAAACTGTAAGTTCCCTCTTCCCATGCATGCTACATGATATTTGTGTTACTGCAGTGAAATTAAGGAAGCTTCTGTTCGTGTGATGTTTTCCTTCCCTCTTTTCTCCGCCTTCTTCACTTCATATTTCCTCTTTAACATTTTCTTCTCAATTGCCTTCAAAATATTCCCCTGGTTCCTACTGAGAGTTAAGATAGGCAATTGGTGAAACTTTAATTTTGTCTTCGTAATCTTCGAGCTCCGAGACCTGGCGAATCATGCCTGTTCCTATATCCAGATGGTTTGAAACTGAGAATATATACGAGTACTTCTGGCTCTTGCGACGATTTTCTGTCTTTTAGGACTTTACAAGTGGCCCATGCTAATATTGTGAGTCTTTCTATGGCTGTGAATATTTAGAGTTATAAATGAGGGGAAAATTTAATTTTGGGTACACCTTACTCATATTTTTGGCTATATGACGTTATATGACCATCGACATTTCGGCGGACCATGGGGTCGGAAAACTATCCTAAATACGACGTACGACGATACGTTTGCAGCGTTTCTTAATTGATCGTAGGATTTGACTGTGGAAAACCACGAAGGTTTTGCTATAGGCGATAATGAAACCCGGGACTTTCCGAACAAAAACAGAAGTTCTGTCACCTATATTATAATATTGGCTGGAAAGTGTTACATTTTAAGCCAAAGTATTATTGATAATTAGTAATCTTAATGTGATATTTGTGCTTCCACCTGTTACATTTGAACTTGCATGTTTGAACACTGAGAAGTAATTTTGTCATGTAGTATATTTATTTTCAGTTTTGTAATTTTTACAAATTTCTTTGCAGATTCCATTGGAAGCTCGGAAGAGACCAAGCCCGAAATTCAAGTGAGTAATGGCTCACTGCAATTTAATTGTATTTTAATTCTGTTTCACGTCAAATTTATTTTGTTTTTGAACATTGTAAACTAGGAAAATGGATTTCGTTTATCTATTAACATTTATCACCTGGTAAATCTGGTAATTATTTTAATCCACAATGACTCTCAATACGTAAGTCACGTAGAGTTTAACCAGAATTGTTCGTAGAAAAAGGAGTAAAAGTGTTCTTTCACTGAGAATAAAGAAGGAAGAAAACGAAGCCAAATAACTGCAAGAACGGAATAATTTTTTACCACTCTTTTCTTTTGCACGGATATACATATACAAAACAAGTATTTTCGTAGAACCCATACTTTAAACCTTGCCTGAAATCTCAGGATATAAATAATAGTCTACAAATCAAAATATTATTAGCAAGTTGAAACACATGACCTTACAATACTGTCACGTGTTACAGTGACTTAGACGCGGCTGTGGATCGGTAAATCGGTTTATTGGAACTTCATTTGTCGTACCTACAATTAGTTCTTACACTCCCAAGATTACTATCAAAATAATATATGTATCGTCACACGCTCTGTCTTTTAAATCTTCTTTTGGCCACACTGCTCTTCCCTGGGAACTTCGGAACTCAAGTGAAGTCAATTCTCATTCCTGTGTTCTGTCATATGTTCTCGGCACGGATCACGTACGGAAAATACAGTTCTGTTATTACGTAGCGCAGACCACACAGAAAATAAGTCACGTGATAACTATCTCGCCAGTCCACTGGCTCGCTGGCTATTGCCTAGCAACGAGCTATGAACATTCGTCCTATTGTTGCGAAAACTTAAGCGAGAAGGTGTTTATCGCGCCGTTTCCTAGCTTTACACGTTACAATATGTAATTGGATCATACGTTATAATCGAGTCTCGGAACGTTCGCGATTATAAAATATAGAAGCAGGAAAAGAAAATAAGTTGCCGGATATTTTCATGTGTAATGGAAAAAATTATGAACAATACACGGTCTGTTAAAAAGTTTTCAGAAGTCTTGAAACAGCGCGACAACTCGACATCTTAGCAATGTCGGGTAGGTTTTACTGCCTAATAGCGTGCTTCCTAATTATCATAGTTTCTTCCGCGTCTTCCTGCAGCGATTAATAATCGCCCTAGAGCTACATGTTCACGTGCGTGTAGAGTGTATCTTGTGGTATTTGAGAAGGCTGATATTCATGAGCAGCGTATTAACATTAACAATTTTGCTTCAAACTAGAGAAAACGTTTGTGATGATCAGTGCATGAGCCATACACATTGTTATGAGCGGTTTAAGTGATTTAAGGATATCCGACAGTCAACACATGATGAGCCGCATTTGGGACGGTTGTCAACGTCATGTGACGACGCTCACATTACGCAAGTTCGTGAAATTGTGCGTTCTAATAATCGTTTGTCAGTGTGGGAAATAGCAGAAGAGTGCAACATGTCAATAGGATCATGTCATGACATTCTTACTGCAACACTAGAGGGTAGTCTCAAAGTTTGTCCCACAAATTCTGACACAGGATCAGAGAGATGGTCGCGTTGCCAACTGTCAGGAACTTTTGAATCGCGCTAGCGAGGATGAAAACTTTCTGAAAAGGATTATAACCAGCGATGAAACAAGGGTTTGTGGATACGATGTGGAAAAGAAAATGCAGTCTTCACAAACAAACAAAACAAACTCGATGGCCTTTAGTCCACAAGCGAACTATACCGATCGAGGGACCACCGCTTGTCGGCGAAGTTAGTGCCAACTTTTGCGGATAGAGGGTGTCGCGTGGTCAGCACAACGGATTACCACGGCCGTTAATCTCGGGTTTCTTGACCAGAGCCGCTATTTCCTTGAAATAGCTCCTCAGTTATCCTCTCGAGGATGAGTGCACCCCGATACAGATCCACTAATTCATAGAAAATCTGGTAGAGCAAGGATTCGAACCCCGGACTTCTGGATCTTTAGCCAGGGATTCTGACCTCTAGACTACAGATTCTTCACAGTGTGCTGGAAGAAATTCACCGAGACCGAAAAAGTTGCGGTGGGTCAGGTAAAATGTGAAAGTCATAGACTGTTTTTTGACATCGAGGGTGTTGTGCATGATGAATTCTTACGCTAAGGGCAAACAGTAAATCTCTGGTATTATCTCGAGGTTCTGAAACGTCCAATAGAAAATGTCAGGAGAAAGAGACCTCAGCTGTGGAGAAAGAACTCTTGGTTCCTCCATCATGACAATGTGCCAGCTCATGCATCGATACTGATTCGTGACTTTCTGGCCAACACGAACACAACTGTGTTTCTTCAGCCACCCTTATCACCTGACCTGCCTCCGGCAGACTTTTTCTTGTTTCCCAAACTGAAATCCACTTTGAAAGGACTAGACTTTCAGACGATTCAAGAGATTACAAGAAATTAGCAGGCAGAGCTAAGCGCGATGACGAAAAGGCGTACCAGGACTCATTCCAGAAGTGGCAATAATGTTGGGAGCTGTGAATCAATGCAGGAAGAGAGGACTTGGAAGGCGATAAGGCTCACTCAGTTACAGGCATATACAAAAAAGGAATATATAATTCCGAAATTTTTTAAAAGACTATATATATTAAAATAGTAAAATTAAGAATTGTGATATGGGCGCAATGTTTAGTACGCATGGAGAGACGAGGAAAGAGCACACAGTTTTATTCAGGAAACCTGAAGGGAAGAGACTCAATAATGTAGGCAGGAGGATTGTGTCAAAGTGGAAGAGATGGTATGGGCTGAATGCAGGTCTCTCAGCCTGGAGTAACGTGGAAGGTGTGAACATGTAATGTACCTTCGGGCTCCGGCTGCGAGACCGTCAGCTTCCCAAGAAGTAATATTCCTCATTGTGTTAACAATTATGTAAAATTCAACACGTAAAATAAGTCGCCAAAAGAAACTCCATTTCTCACTGTAGTGAGTATTGAGTGTGATATCTTTGGGGATGTGACGCCGTTTATTTTGGTAAACACAGAGAACGATGAAATTATCAGAATAATATACGAAATGTAGTAATGGTTTTTGAAGGAATTAATGTTCTCACAATGATCATTATGAAGAGTATTATATTCCGGCATGCAACGCCGTGTAGTCCGGTGAAAGTCAACCGACGTTTCGGAGGACTTTCAAGGGACTATACGGCGCTATGTCCCAGAATATAATGCTCTTCATAGTTCAAGAAAGATTAAAAATCACTCAAAAAGACATTGTATATTCTTTCTAATGCATGATTGACCTTGACTTATAAACGAAGACAATTGTTGCTCAGTTAACCATTGTTGGTTACTGAATATCGAGTATCGGTGAAATCCACATGACTCGTAAAACCGGTTTCGAGACAACTGATATTTCGCGTTTGGTCCCCTCACACACACACACACACACACACACACACACACACACACACACACTACTGTATTCCTGAAGACACACACATGCGCTTTTGTTTAGGGACGCTGTCTCCGCAGATCGGTGAAATGTAGTCAGAATTGTTACAACCGTTCTCGAGGAAATCAACATTTTGTTTTGAGCTGATCTGAATGGCTTCTCTTTTTGGAGATGATCCGGTTCACCGGGCACCAATGTAGGATGATAAACTCGGGAAGTCCGCCTTACCGTGCAGGATTTAACGAGGCGCACATCCATATATGCCCATACAAACATACTGATACACACACGCATGCAGATATGTAGACATACAGAAGGACGGCGCACAAAATGGTACTCTTTCTTAATAAGGAAGGATGAAAATGAGTAACTAGGTCGAAAATTCGGGACCTACATAACTATGGAAACCAATAATGTTTTTGGAACAGGTTATAGAGGGAGTAAGAACATACCATATTTCGATTTGGAACGCAGCCACGTATTGGCTGAATGTCACTTCCCACAATTCATAGGGGCAGGTACCAGTTGGGATTCCCCGGTCACTGAATATCACGGAAGAAGCAGGCTGTGGATTCAAGCTCAAGAACGCCGTAAGTAGGGCTGCTTGTCTCTTGAGCGATACCAAGTCGGATGACGTTTCCTGCCTACATATTACACTCAAATACCCAGCCCTTATTTAGGATCATATTGAACTATACAGCCGGGCGAGCTCAGTCGGCAAGGAGGCAGTATAGGGGGTTCGATTCCCCGCTGTACAGGGATACGTACCTCAAGTCATCATGACAAAACCGACTCTGGACCCCAGTTCCATCTTCAGGTTTCTTAATATCTTCCCTTTTCGTCAATGTGTCGTTTAACAAACTGTGATTCTTAGGGCGTATCTCTGTAATATTTTGCTTAATGTTATTAATGTGTTTTCGGGCTTGCTTATTCATAGCATATGATTCATTAACATAATCTTCTTACAATTATTTACAATTCTTACTTTAATAATTGTTTTTATTCGTTAGAATATATGACCAAATACATTTTAAAAATCATTGTAGAATATTTGAAATTTGTTTCCTATCTGTTCTGATTTCCCATCCTTAAAGCCCAGGATTGTTACCGGAACAAGAGTATACACAGCCCAAGAATCGTCCCTTTTCCGGTTCTTGTTAAGATAAGCAAAATTACAATAAAAATATAGTTTATTCCTTGTATATCATTCACATATACAAATGTTTACTTTATGTTCATAATTGCATATACAGGCCTGTGAGATTAATATTCTATATGAATCATTAATAACTTCAAAACAACGTAAACCAAAATGGGACACTCTTAATTTCTTGTCTGAAAAGACAAACACTGGATTATTCTTACGCGAAATTCTGGTTTTAAAACAAAAGGCTAGGTAGATCATACAGTTTCCTATGTATTGCTGTGGGGTTGTGTGGCAGTAAATCTTGTAAATACTAAAATACGTCGCTAATGCATATTGTATCTCCCAATCCGTTTGATGTTTTCTATCGTTTTCTAACAACAAGACCTGCCAGAACGGAAGGAAAGGGTTGAGACAGATGAATCTCATTCCATAAATAACTGG